TTCACCAGAGACAGAGTGGGGAGCAGAACAGGCAAATCTACGAAGTACACTGCTGAGGGGAGCAGCGGGCGGGTCAGGAGAGGCCTGCCATGCCATGTGGTCACCTCCAGGGCAGGTGGGAATCGAACTCATGCGGAAGTGGCTTTAGTTTCTCAGTGCTGTGCTTTAACCCGCTGCGCCACCAGGGAGGGCCCGACTTTAGCTTCTTAATGCTGTGTTTTAACCCACGGTGCCACTAGGGAGGGCCCGAAAATCACAATTTTTCTTTAATCATGTTAACTCATATTAAATGTAGGGAATTGTTAATGCTAGTGGAGATGTCAAAGACAATATTAATATTTACTAATTCAGGATTCATGAGAAACATGTAGTCTCAGTTATACACTTGGAAGTAAGCAGTGTATTTTGTTTCACAAGACTAGATGAGAATTTGGATGGAAAAGAACTAAGGACAGAAACACAGGACACTGCATTTTAAGAAATACAGACGTCTAAGCTGGAAATAATGGAAAATAATACAAAAGAGAGGGCAAAAAGTTCAGGAAAAAAAAATTAGATGACAGCTAATAGACCGTTTAAAGAACAGAGGACTGAACAGCTTTGTTAATGCAAGTGAAAAGAAGTAGAATAAGGACCAAGAAATACATATTATTTTTGGCAAAACAGAGACCATAGAAAAGAACAATTCCTTATTAGAAAAACTAATTGATTAAACTCATTGATATGGACAACTGTGGGACAAAGAACCACATTGAACAACTAACAGTATTTCAGCATTCCAAAAGCAACCAGAGATAATTGCATGCTCTAAAGGCATGAAAAATTCTGAGCAGAATCTTTCTTCCCAGATACAGCCTGTCATGGTAAGCCCAAATTCACCCACATAATTTTAATTGATGTCAATAATTTTAACATGGTTATTCATATTTTTCACAACTTGATGACTTTATTTTACTCACAGCCAATTTTGTACTCTAAAATTTGGTCTTTCCATGGTTGATCATTTTTTCACCGCCTTCTTGGATCAGTGTAATGCTCAGACTGCTCTTGTTTATGATTCTATTTCTTTGTCAGCATGTGGTAACAATGAATATCGTTGACCTGGTTTCTCAAGTTTTCTTGAATGGGTGGTACATCTTTCTTCCTCTCTCTCTTTCCTTCTCTTGCTCTTTCTTTCTTTTCTTTCTTTCCTTTCTTTATTTCCTTCTTTTTTGCCTGCATGCACTGAAAGGAGTATTTTTACCATCTTGGTTGTCTCTGCACCTACCCTTGTCTCCAGACCTCCTCATCTTTTTCCTTTCCAACATGCTGTGGCTGGTTGTTCTCTCATACTGATTTAATATATCTTTAAATCTTGATAGACTATGCAATACCTAGATGGTAATCAGCAAACAATAGAAAGAATATTACTAAGATATTCTTATCATAAGCCACAGTTATTTGAAGTGGGAAAAGACTTGTCTGTATTATTCTTTTCTATATAATGATTCACTCATTCCCTCAAATAAACTTCACTGAAAAGTTTAAGCACTGTGGGCTATGCACGACTAAAAGTATCTCTGAACAAGGGAATAATTTCCAGACCTTAAAGGAGTCTGTTTTGAAAGTTAAGTAGCACAATACAAGTATGTTAAAGAAAGTGTTGTTGTTACAGCCCAGCTTTTCTAGACATACAGTCTCTAGTAAATGTATTTATATCTTCATTTAAAACAGGTTACTATGTATATTTGTTAACTAATACAGAAGATAATTTTCTGAAATGGACTCAATGAATTTTTATGTTCCAATGAAAACAAACTGTCATGATCCTCTGATGATGTGGTGAAGTAAGGATCTAGGATCTTGTTTTTCAATGTGGCTTCACTCTGCTAGAAAAATGTCGTAGTGTGTAAGTGATACATTCATGCTTTTAATAAGAGATCTAAACTTCCTGTGTTTTAGTTCCTCCAGTCATTAGTCCCCACCCAGAGGAGTATATCACTGCTGTGGATAAGCCTATCTCTCTACCCTGTGAGGCAGACGGCTTCCCATCTCCTAACATTGTGTGGCATAAAGATGGGCACGCAATTACAGAATCTGTCCGCCAACGCATCCTTAGCTCTGGGGCTCTGCAAATAGCCTTTGCTCAGCCTGATGATGCTGGCCAGTATACATGCCTGGCAGCTAATGTGGCAGGATCAACCAGCAAGAGTGCCAAGCTCACTGTTCATGGTAGGTGGTTTAACAGAAATTGTTTCCATCTGATACATTACTACTCAAAGACAAGAAATCACCAAGAAAAAATATTATATTATGGAATATTATGGAAATCAAATCCAGTAATCCAAATAGGTGTGAGTTAGTGGTATTTGGTGCATGTATAGTGGGTGTATGTGATATGTGTGTTGTCGGTGTGGTTTAGGTACGTTTGCCCTTTAAATCTGTTTTCTGTATGCTGTGTTTTGTTATATGTGCGCATATGTGTGTGAGGGAGACAACTTTTATTACGCAAGGATAATTGATATATTACAAATAATCCCCTCATGGTGTGACTGTTGGAATCTGTATTTTGGCTCATTGTTTTGTGACTCATCCAATTTTCTTGTCAAGCTGCAAGTTATGTTGGTAACAGTTACTCAACATATGACCTATTTATTAGTACAGTTTGAATTTAATGTTATCCATTGTCTTAAAGTAGCAAAATATCTACATGTAGATTTTATAACAAAAAGAAACCTTGTCTTGTCCTTTGTATTCAAGCAACCAACCAGCAATATATTTTAAGACCAGCACTGAAACAGTTGCTAGTATATATCTTAAGGCTAATATAGAATATTGATTAATAACAGTGGTAGGAAACAACAAGCAAACAGAAGGTTGGTTCCACTTACTATTTTCACTACTACTATTAGTACTAGTAATAGTAATATTCTTATTTTAATGATGAGTTTTGTTATTTTTTTTCAAACTTCTTAAGTTTGTGAGAGCTTTTTCTTTTATATATATATATATATATATATCTCAGGTGCACTTGAATTCCTACAACTCCATAGTTACAGTGGTATTTACACTGTTGAAATTTCACAAGTGGAATTTTTAATTGAATAATGAATAAGTTAGGGAAAAATTAATGAACATGTGTGAATTTTACAAATTCCTTCCCTGGTGTATACCTTATTTTAGTTTATATGGTCAAACTTATCAAAAATACACACTAGCTCTTTAGTTTTATGAAAATAAAGCCCCTTCTTCACAAACATTTGTAGAAAATTTACCAAAATTGGCCATATGCTAAAGAGCAAAGAAATCGTTAATAAAATTTTAAAATACAGGCTTCATTTCCTGCCCACAATGTAATAAAGCAGGAAATGTGTAATGAACTTTATATGCCAAAACTCCAGCCCCAAGTAAATAAAAAAATTCCATTCTAGTTAAGAAGTAGGTCAAAGCATATGTTTTTATTTGAAGATTGTTTAGAAAATAATAAAAAGGATACCACATATCAAAATGTATGTTGTGTGCCAAAACTAAAATCACATATAAAGACATTTATTTAAAATTTTTAAGATTTATTTTTATTTATTTGTGCATATGAGAACTGGAATGTAGGCCAGAGGTGCAGGGAGTGAGAGGATTCACCCGAGACAGAGTGGGGAGCAGAACAGGCAGATCTGGAATACACTGCTGAGGGGTGCAGTGGGTGAGACAGAAGTCTGCTGCACCATGTGGGTCACTACCCAGGCTGGGGATAGAACTCAGTCCACAATGGCTGAGATAGGTTGAAAGCACGAGGCGTAAGCCCTGTGCAACCAGGGAAGCTCCCTGCCTTAAAATTTTCTTTTTGAAAAAGGTCTAACTGAAGAAAACATACTAATATTTCAACTTTGTGACCACTAACTGAATAACCCCAAGTAAGCAGGATAAAAGAGATAACTAAAATTCTACATAAAATCATGAAAAAAAAAACAGCGAATATTAACATTACCTACAATTTTTATTCATATAATCATTCATGTAATGTTTGTATATATACTTATATGATCAAAAATAAAATATGAAAAAATGGAGTTTACGCAGCAGCTTTATTTTTGTTTAAACCAACTGTTACTTGTCCTGTTCTTAAAATGTCATCAAAACTGACCCATCTCACTGATAAGTTTAGAGTTTATTTTTACTTTTGAAAATATGAAGTGCATTCTTCATATTTTTAAATCTTTCTTTAACAGATTATATCTTAGTTCTAAGTTCATTGAGGTATTTCTCAGTGCAATAAAATATTCCATTCAGTTTTCTATTTTGTCTAAATTCCAGTTCAAAAAAATTTGAGGTACAGGGAGCATTTCCCATTACTATGCAGCAAATTAGGAAATCACTATAAAAATTTCCTCTGTGCCAGTACAAAAACTGAAGCAAATATCTTGGTCTAATCTTACTTGTGTTATTTGTAATATGTGAAATACTACAAAAAAATGTTTTTCTTTAGCAGCTTGTGATATTTATCATGTTTTTTAAACTAGTACTTTTGTTATTTCATCCTCACAATGTGTCTGTGATACAAATCAAGCAGTTATACAACCACAGATGCATTTTATTGTTGTTCTGTTTTACTTCACTAAAAAAAAAAAAAAAAAAAAAAAAAAAAAAGCAGAAGAAGTTCAAATAGGAAAAGGAAGGAAATAAAATAAAATCTAAATATTTCCATGACAGTTTGAAGTGATTTACTCAGAAACTGATTACAAATGTATTTAGTAAGTTCATATCCTTTAGAATTTGTGCTAGTATCAAAAATATTTGTTACTTTCAGATTTCAAACAAATCAATAACTTGATTAGAGCCCTTTGGTATTGCTGCAAGCAAAATTGCCCTCAAAAGTCTTTTTGTGTGTGTTAGCTTTCAATGTGAATAAAGATGTTATTGAACTCAATATCCTGAATGGCTATATGTATTTTTATAATTTCTCACAGTACCACCCAGAATCCAAAGTACAGAAGACTATTACACGGTCAATGAGAATTCACAAGCTATTCTTCCATGCGTGGCTGATGGAATCCCCACACCAACACTTAACTGGAAAAAAGATAATAATCTTTTAGTGAACTTGTTAGGAAAATATACTGTTGAACCTTATGGAGAACTCATTCTGGAAAATGTTATGGTAAGTCCGCTAGACAGGAAGAGACACATTAAGCCAAATTGTTAATTCACCTTTTAACTTTTGGTATTTTAACTTGGAATATAGCCTTTAATAATGAAAGGGACACACTCATAAATTCAGGTCACTAATTTCACTTTACACATTTAATAATCTAAATCTGAAAGTAGCATTCAGCCGATAGCAAAAATGGCTTCCTTCTAAAATTTTTATTTTACTGTTGTGAAAATATGTGTTTATCAAAAAAAATTCTAAGTGCCTTTGGTATATTCCATATTTTTAACCATGTATGGGGATGGCTAAGGAGTGAAGATATTGTCATGTCTGAAGTATTATTAAGCAGCTAGAAAAAGCAGTTTTGATTCTCCTCAGGTTTTTTGATAATACTTTCTGATCACTGATAGAAAACTAACTTCTTAGGCATTTGTGCAAGCTGAGGGTTTTGCATGAGCTGAGTTGGTCTCCTGGTGTACAAAGCCTGTGTCAGAAGCATCACAGGGGTCAGTGAAAGTCCACTGTAGCCATGCACAACACACAGCTTTAATAAGTTTTGTGTTCTGACAGTGTCAGTACTTACTACTGTTAATAACACTAATTGTGGCAATAATCCTTAAATACTGTTAAATATAATTTAAATGTGAATCAACTTTCAGAACTTTTGTGCATATCCTCTTTCTTCATTACAAAATGCTGACATTTGATTACAAAATCTCAGAATTAAATTGAGAAGATTGAGATGAAAAAAAAAATGATTGTATTCACTTTACAAAATAATCTCAGCAATGTGCAGGATTCCTGGAATTACTGGGTAAATATCCCTAGTGACAGGCTATCAATAAACCTCACTTTGTCACATGTGCCAGCAAAAATTGTATTTATTCAAATCTAAGTTCCCATTAATTGCACAATGCATCATTATTTCATATACCACCTAGAAAGAAAAAAAATGCAGACAAGTAGAGAAGATTATTGGGCTTTTAATATAGATCCCAATCTCATAGATATTAAAAGTTAAAAATATAAATTTTAGAATTTATAAAATGAGGACAATTTTGTTTAAACTGGTAAATTACATTGTCAGAAAAGCCATGCTGTTTTTCAAGCAAAAATGCATCATGACTTTTCTGAAACCCAATATATCTAATAGGGATTATCCTCGTGTTTGGGAATGTTAAATTTGCCCCTCAATCATTCTTACTGACCTGAAGGAATTAAATGAAAAAAAATCAGACTTTTCATGGAACTACTCAGATAAACTGTAAGAATGCCCAAAATTAGGTAGTTTGTAAATGCCAGATAAAAAGATAAATGATAAGTAGAAATCTAAAATAACATAACAATCTAGATTTTTATTTTATTTTACTAGCAGTCCTTATTTTGTCCAACCTTCCATTCAGATTTTAAAATGCTTCACTTCCATAAAATTCAGTAAACTTCAGTTGTCATAAGCTAGGTATTTTAAGGTAAGTAACATGAGGTTGGGGGACCTTTACAGGGTTCCTTCCTTTGCCCCTTAAAAAAGAGAAAGCATGCAAATTTGTGTTTTTTATGATGAATGATTATAAAAGTTATGCTACATTTCTAATCAATTGTTTGATGTTTTAATGCATAAAATATCTTAAACTTTAAAAAAGAGAATAAAAGGCTCATAATACATGCCTGATAATTCAGAAGCATTCCTTTAAGTGTTAAATTGATTTAGGCACTGAGAATAGAACAGGGAAGAAAAAAAAGAAAGTCCTCTTCCTCATGGAGTTTGAGTAGTATTACAAACAATAAAAAATAAAAATAATGTATACAATAAGTCTGACAAAAATGTGTAGGAGAGTGTGGTAAAGGAAATCATGAGTTGGAGGGGTAAAGGTTATATTTTCCATAGAATATTTGGGGTAAGTTCCCTTTGGGAAGATGACATTTGAACAGCACTTGACAGAAGTGAGTGAACCAAGCAAAGAACTAGGGAAGAACAAACCCAAGTAGAATATAGACAGGTAGAGCGGAGAACTTAAGGTAAGGACACACTTAATGTATTGAGAAACATGATGCCTGTAAATGAAAAACAAAAAATGAAATGTCAGAGAAAATGGAGACCAGAGCATACAGTTTCTTGTAGGTTATCAACAGTTTTGCCATTTACTCTGCGTAAAGTCATAATCCACTGTAGGTTTTGAGCAATCAACGTGTTACTGGCCTAGCTCTGTTTCCATAGTGTTGTCACTATGGTGTTTACCTCACATGGTAGCTGCCCAATAGTGTTGCAGTTTGACTAAATTAACTGTTATCCTGAGAATAAGAATAAGATGGCAGGGATAGAAGCCTGAATCCCTACTTTGCGAAGGTGTGCTGTAGTGGAATGAAAAAAAAAAGGGACTCCATACAGATATAGTAGAAAAGGGACAAGAAGTGGTTCTATTCTGCATATATTTCAAAGCTATGAGTCCCTTGCTAGGTTGTAAGTGGTGTTTGAAAAAGAAAAGTAAATGATGTTTCAAATATCTTAGAACAAAGCGTGAACAACTGAAAGACATGATAGCCATCAAAGAAGGGGGAAAACTACAGGTAGAACATGAAGGGGAAAGACAAATTATGAATTCACTTTTGTGTATGAGAATCATTTGTCTTTTAAGCAGCAGCATTGAAATGAAAAGTTGGTTATAACTGGAGAAGACATGGTCTGATTATAGTGGTTCTCATCGGCACATAGATGGTACTTAAAGCTATGATGAGATCGCCAAGCAACTGAATGCAGACAGAGAATAAAAGAGGGCCAAAAGTGGAGTCCTTTCATGTGCCAATAAAAACACTAATGATGAAGGGAAGTTAGCAAAAGGAAATGGAAAATCAGTAACCAGAGAGGTGGGAAGGAAACCTGGGGACTGTGATGGCCTGAAATCACAGTAAGACATGGTTTTAAAAAGAAAGGAAGCACAATTAAAGGAAAAGAATCACAATTGTGTCAAAATCATCCTTACTCTTTGCCATTTCGTTTGCTCATTTTGGCGGTTGTTTGGTGCTATGTTACCCAGAGAGTCAACTGTGCCTCCAACATTAGCCTTTGGGATAGCCTGTTCTTTATTGTACCTTGCAGCTGCTCTTGATGGTTACAAAGCTTTAATATCTAAAGTTTTCTAAGACCATATTACTATAAAAATGCTAGATTTTTGTAAAATATGACTCATATTTAAACTCATATATTTTAAATTGGTATGCAAAAGCTAGTCATCTGGTTTAGACTACAAGATGGAAATTTATGTTGTCTTTAAATAAAAGCACTCCTTTGTGGGCCAGACAATGCAATTTTATGCCTTTTTATGTAAGATTGTTCTTTTAAGTCCTGTGGTTTTTATTTTTTAATTTAAGTTGGAGGACTCTGGCACCTATACCTGTGTTGCTAACAATGCTGCAGGTGAAGACACACACACTGTCAGCCTGACTGTGCATGTTCTCCCCACTTTTACTGAACTTCCTGGAGATATATCACTAAATAAAGGAGAACAGCTGCGATTAAGCTGTAGAGCAACTGGTGTCCCATTGCCCAAGTTAACATGGACCTTCAATAACAATATTATCCCAGGTTGGTAACCTCATTCTAAAGAAGTGAATAAATCAACAAGTCTAGAATGCAAAACTAATCTGCACTTTCTGTAACTGTGGGAATTGGTTGAAAGTTAATGAAAAATAGATTGCCTTAAGTTCTGGACAGTGGCTTGACTGGATCTTACTCTCTACCCTGTATGTATGTTCTTTTCATTCTTTTTTTAAAAATTATTATTTGTGCATACAAAAACTGGGGTACAGGCCAGAGGTGTGGGGGGTGAGAGAATTCAACAGAGATAGAGTGAGGAAAAGAACAGGCAGGTCTACTGAAATACACTGCTGACGGGGGCAGTGGATAAGACAGGAGAGGTCTGCTGCGCCATATCTGTCACCTCCCTGGCCTGGGATCAAACTCATGCTGTAGTAGCTTCAAATAGCTTCATAGGGCTGACATAACCCTTGCATCACCAGGGAGGCCCTGTTCCTTTCATTCCTTTGAAAGGGTAACTCATTAAAAGAACAGGATATATATATATGTATGTAAATTTATATATATGTAAATTTTTCATCTAAAAACAACTCCCTTCCCCTGTGTATAATTGTATATACAGATAATTAAACGTATCACCTTTAGACCTAGCTTCTTTGATAAATGACTAAGATGGAGCTTGTTTGCAGTTTTGCAGATACATCTGGTTATAGAGAAATCTTCACTGTATTTATTAATCTCTATCAACCTCTTAGCACACTGTTAATTGTGTGCTAGTCAATGTGTCAGTCCCTGAAACTCATGAAAACTTTTCACTAGAATGGCCACTGTCTTCTTATTAAACTTTTTCAGTAGCATATAGACAATTCTGGTAATGAGAAGCTATCCACATCCCAAAATTGAATCTTGAAGTACCACACCATTAATATTTAGTAAATATGTTACTAGAAAAGCTACAATAAGCATGAATTTTTTTTCTGCTATGAAGATTTAAGTTAATGACTAAAATTTGTCATCTTACTGCCTTAATAATTATAGTGTACCTCACTAATGAAAAACAAGGTCTAAAATAATGTAATAAGTAACTGCTTTCTAAGGGTATAAGAATAATTTAGCTCTTTAAAATTTGTTCTACTTAAATTTTGAAAGTTTAATGTTCCGGCCCTCCCTGGTGGCACAGCGGGTTAAAGCACTGCACTGAGAATCTAAAAGCCACTTCCTCATGAGTTCGATTCCCGCCTGCCCCGGAGGTGACCACATGGCGTGGCAGACCTCTCCTGACCCGCCCACTGCTCCCCTCAGCAGTGTACTTCATCGATCTGCCTGTTCTGCTCCGCACTCTGTCTCTGGTGAATCCTCTCACCCTCCACATCTCTGGCCTGTACCCCAGTTCTCTATGAATAAATAAATACATCTTTAAAAAAAAAAGTTTAATGTTCCACTTAATGTTCATCAGCCTGAAATTTAAAAAAATAATTTGAATGGGGGAAGCAATGCTAGTCAATATACTTACATCATTAGATATTTGCAGATATAATTATAACCTTATATAATATTGGTTACTTTAGGAGTATCTTATTTACCTTAGATTCTACTCCAAATAGTATAGTTACCATTGTAAATCTTTCTATCAACATTATAGAGAAGTTGAAATTATTACAGATCTGATCTTGTCATTCTTACCTAACTAGCATGTTTTGGGATTTCCCCTCCAACCTACCATGTCAGTTAAATTATAACCACAAATGTTTTCATGTGTTTGATGTAAATTGTTTGGGAGGAATAGTGCTGGTGAGATAAAAAAAAAATGGAAAATGTCCTATTTCTGAATGAAAGATTTTTTTGAAACCCAGAGAGACTATGAGCCAGCTTTCAGCAACATTTTGCCATGAAAGGTGTACTTCAAATCTAAAATAATTTTTAAAAATGTTTATTTTCATTCTCTTTTCCTGTGCCTTCTGCTGTTTTTCGTTCTTCAAACAAGTGTCTACAGAGACAGCAAATAGCTCAGAGGAAGAAATCTGTGGAAAAGGCTCTATTAACCAATGTCAGAATGAGTCCTTCTGGTTCAGTTGCTGGTTCAACTCATAAATCTAGCTTGCAAAATATTTAGCTGTTGTGATGATTTTCCTAGGTTACTGAGAGGCTTTTGTGTTGCTTCCTAACTTGTTCCCTCAGCCCACTTTGACAGCGTCCATGGGCACAGTGAACTTGTTATTGAAAGAGTATCAAAAGAAGATTCTGGTACTTATGTGTGCACAGCAGAGAACAGCGTTGGTTTTGTGAAGGCAATTGGATTTGTTTATGTGAAAGGTAGGTAGAAGTTCTTAATTTATAATTTATTTATAGTGAGTGGTTTCTGTTTTACTTCCTTATCACAAAGTAATGTGACTTCAGTTTATTATTCCTCTAGACTTATCCACAGATATGTAAATTCATATCATGTAGTATGAATTCATTCACCTTAAAAGTAGATGAAGAAATTATTTGGCACAGAGTAGGATCATCTGCTTAGATTATTGAAACTTGCAAATTTGTCATGAGCAGTTGATTTTAGAAAATTCATGGGGGTTGAAAGTGGCCTTTCCCCTCTTCATTAAATTATCTTTCTAAAACATTTAAAATCTTAAACAAATTAACAGTTTATTTTCATTTGTTTATGTCTTTTGATATTTCCCAGAGCCTCCAGTCTTCAAAGGTGACTACCCTTCCAACTGGATTGAGCCACTTGGTGGTAATGCAATCCTGAACTGTGAGGTGAAAGGAGACCCTGCCCCAACCATCCAGTGGAGCAGAAAGGGAGTGGACATTGAAATTAGCCACAGAATCCGACAACTTGGCAATGGCTCCCTGGCAATTTATGGCACTATTGTAAGTCACAGTGGAAACCACTCACAGTGGAATTATCCATGAGCATTTAAAACTTCCACAGTCCATGCATCACTGTAGGTCCATGGATGGGAAGTTTCTCTTATATCCCTATTTAAATCATAAACCAAACCAGTAACAAACCCTTAACTTCTGATTGCAGAACCCAAGCTAGCAGAAGGCAGCGGTTATGGGGAGGAAACTCAGGTCCAGTAGAACCTGGTGGAGGATTATTAGGACTTTTCTGGTGGGCATGGTGTGAAGACATACATTTTGACATGTGAATCTATAACCCCTAAAACAAATACAGCGTTATAAAACAATATTACCTCAGTAAACATAATTGGGGAAAAAAAATAAAACATGAACCAATGGAGTCATTTTAAAAATTGAAACAGTGGTTCAGATTGATGATTTTTAATGCTTTCAAAGGAATACAGATGATAAACTAATTTTATTGTTTTTCCCCATTGTTGATATATTATTTAATATCTAATTTTCTCACATCGGTTTCAAAAAAAGGAAATTGAACAATTACAAACATAATTATGAATAAGTTATAAGATAGAATTCTTCACTAACCTGACAGACTTTATTAGGCTGTCTAAAAGTTTCAGTAATAAGGAAAGTGACTGGTGCTTTAAATTATTTTGAGTTAGGAAACAAGATATTACATCTAAAAATTCCTCTACTAGACTGTATAATTTCTTAACCTATTGTTAGATTAACTGAAAAACTAAAGATATTGTATCTAAACACCTGAACCAATGTACCACTCTCAACATTTTATTTTCCTTCATTTTATGTCAACATTTAATGTTATTATTTCTTCAATTTTGAGATGGTTTCTAACTTTAGCTTCTGTAGCACAAAAGAATTCTTACTTTTCATTACATTCTCTCCCCTTGTCCACTGCATAAATACTGTTTCTGAAAGCCTTGATCATATCAGTTTTAATACTGATACTATTTTTCTCACTATCCAATTTCAGATTCTTAAATATACATCTGTAACCCTGAAACTCTTCCAAGTTCCATTTACAATTTCCTATTAGAAATTTCTGTTTGGATAATACATTGACACACCCAATTAAACATCTGAATCAGCAATTTATACACATCCTCCCACCTTCTTCTACTTTGTGCAATTCAGATACCCTTTATTGACTTAATCTTTCTGCTAAGAAGACTTCTGTTTTTCTTTAACCAAGTTCTCCTGTGGTTCCATTCATGGGGCCTTAATGAAATCTCTTAAGTAGTCACCAAAACTAAATTCCTAGGGAACTTATTTTTAATATGTATATAAAATTGTGGTTTGCAGCCTGTCATTTACAATTACTTGTAAATTTTCACTTCCCCAATTTCAAATCCTCTAAATAAAGGTGAGGCTAAATGTTTTCTGTAAAGTAATCCCCATGAGAAAGAACTTAGGTTTTGTTCATTTATCTTCATATCTTGATGTTGTTTTTTTTTTCCAAAATATCTATAATAATAACATCAGCATTTTTCTTTAGTAAAATAATTCTGGTAGGTGATCATTAAAAATGTTAAATTTTTTGGTCTCTTGCCAGTTAACTATTCTCAAGCATAATTACAACCAGTTTTGAAAATACTTAACCTGGAAATTTCTGTTTCTTTTTTAAAACCTACTTATGAGATTACATATATGTAGATTTTTCTACTTCTATAACATATCCTTCTCAAGAATGAAATTTCATGTAAATGATCATCATGATGAAAATGAATTTCTCTAGGGTCAATTATTAATTTTTTTCTTACATCATTGTTCATTTTAGTACAATATTTGATTTCTCCCATTATGTGTCATTCCCATAATTCTCTCACCACTGCAACACCCGTGAACTATCACCAGAGGTCCTTGTGCTCTTCCTTCCATTTTGATCCCCTCCCACTCCATTGCTGGATGCCTCAATTCTATAGTTTGCCTGCAAATTTTGTCTTTTTCCTGACCCTTTGTTCAGTTTCCCTCTGCTCCCCCATAAGTGAGACCATCTGATATTTTTCTTTTTCCATCTGACTTATTTTGCTTAGCCTAACCCTGAAGGGTCATATTTTATAAATCACTGCTTCTCTCCTCAGAATGAAGATGCAGGCGACTACACGTGTGTGGCTGCCAATGAAGCTGGGGTGGTGGAGCGCAGCATGAGCCTGACCCTGCAAAGTAAGCAGCGGGATTAAGCTGTAATGGTTACACACTTGAGTGAAGAAATGGAGCCCAATAAAGAATGTTTGTTTTCTTTGACTTAATAGCAAGTATGTTAATGTTAGCTTTTAGAGTGTGTCTGATTTAATTTTCTGCTGCTGATGTCAAACATATTGTCAAGCTTAAGACTTATATAGCTTTACATAGATAATTTTCTTTTTTTAATCTAACACATGCAATTCAAATTGCAATTCCTTAATGACAGAACACTTATATCTTAAGTGTCCTCATCAATAAATCACCTGAAAAATATTCTGTGCATACTTATAAGATGTATACAAATATATTACATTTTCTTTATCCATTTATTCCTCAATCAACAGACACTTAGGTTATGTCTTGCTAAGATGGTGTTTTATTAAAGTACATATATATCAAATGTTAAACTTTTGGGATGTTATTAGAAAAAAAAAGTAGAATTTCATGGTAAGTAAGCCTGACAATAAAAAAAAAGCTTATTTATTGACTATATAAGGAGCTCCAAGCCCTGCTTAGAAATACCATGTTTATTTGTTCATTATAATATGTTTTCATTTTCTTAGTTGACATAATGTTAAGATCCCTCCCATCAGATAGCAATTTCATAAGTATACCCGCCATCAAATCATCCAGAGTCCCCACCATACTACCATAGTCCTTTGTGATTACTTCTCTCTTTGTTCTTAACCTTTCCCACATCCTCTCTCCATCTCTGACCCAGTAGTTCTATTCATAAGCATCTATAAAAAAAAATCAAAAATATTAATTCAAAAGGAGACTTTCACTCCCATGTTTATTGCAGCACTATTTAAAATAGCCATATTATGGAAACAACCTAAGTGCTCAAAAATAGATGAATAGTTCAAGAGAATGTGATGTATGTATACACAGTGGCATATTACTCTGTGATCAAAAAGGAATACTAAGTTTCTTTGCTGTATATCTTCCCAGAATGTTAATATGCTGATATGGGTTATATAATGGAAAGAGGAGGCTATGATGTACCACATTTCTCAAGTGAATGCTATTTTTATGAAACGTTCCTTCCCTTTTTGTCGTGAACGAAGGGAAGACATCACATGATGGAAGCATATTCTACTCAGTTGGTTCAAAAACAGTTATATTAGATCAGCTCATATGAACATATTAACAATTAATTAAACAAATGAGACACATAAAAAGTCCATAAATATAATTTGTTTTAAATTAATATTGAAGCACCAAAATCAATGTCTTCATTTAGATAATGCTCATATTTAAGTAATAGCTATGTGACTGATTGAATTAATAAAGCGCAAAAGATGTATATATGAAATTTTATTGAAAGTATGTAGCCTTATGCAAGTTGAGGTATTGAAATATGATATCTTTATATTCTGACATAAAAATAGTGATTATCAGAGGAGAAAAGGAAGTAGCATGGGAAGTAGAGCAGTGAGCATCGATTTGATAGTGGTTTAAGTGGTAGAACTTTGGTGCTGGGTGTCTGTAGCACATACATTTTTTGAGGTATAAAGCCTTACTACTGAAATATATGATTTAGTAAATCAGGTTTTAAAAGATTCTGAGTTTTATTGCTCTTTGCCTATCATAACAACAGATGAGCTCATTTAGTCTTTAATTGTTATTCAGTGTTGAATAATTGGTCGGAAGCATTTCCTTTATTCAACAACAACAGATCATTGACTACATGTGTAATCTGAGCACGAGGAGAGAAGTTAACCCTCAGCCTAGGAAAGTTCTTAGCATGAAGTTAATGTAACCATCAAGTAAGAAAACAATTATGTAGGATGATGTGAGCATGTATGAGTAAACCAATATGAATAATGCAGTATGTGACACAGAGTCGAATAGCGTTTGATATAATTGTTTATAAAGGACAACATGTCAGTAATACCAGTATAAAAAATAACAGCATAAGAATACCACAACAAAAAACATTTTACTTCTGTTTTCATTCTGTATTCTACTTATTCCAGATTCACTCCTTGATCTCAAAGATAAAAACAGCCCCCCCTGAATTGTCTGATATTTATTACCTCTCCTTGAGAAAATCATTACCATTCACTTGAATCTCACCTAAACACTGCTTTCATCCTTTGTTCTTTCAAAAATATGCATACTGCCCTCTCTTTACCTACTCAGGTGTACCTTATATATTATTATTCTCCACAGTGACTCATCCTTTCATTGTTAAATCCACATCTATCTATTGCCTTCTCCCCAAGTAGCCTCCTTTCTAGATTTAACCTTACCCATATTTGAAGATCCAACTCAAGCTGCTTCTTCCCCATGAATTCTTTCATACTGTGTTTATTGACACTATAGAGCTGTCTAAAGATAAACAGTCTTGTGAACACTTTTGCATTCTTGCTAAGGACTTTCCTTGATAAGCTTGCCTCCACTGAAGGTTAACTTCTCCTTCCTTAATACCATTTTCTCCTGATTGTCTTCCCATTCAGTTATCAGTTCTTAGTATCATTTATTGCTTTGACTGCTGTTCATGTCTTAATGATGCTACAATCGATTGTGTGTGAATCTTCACATCTCACTTTATACAGCAATCTTATTCAGTCATGAAAAACTCACATTTGTATTTCTAACCCATGTCTCTATTTGAAGTTTCACACGTAAATAACTACATCTAACATCCTCACATGAACGCTCCACAGATACCTCAATCCCAACAGTTCTAAAATGGATGCAGATCACCCAATAATCTGTCCAATTAATCTGCCCCATCTTATTGGCCAAATCTATATACTATAAAGTAAAATTCCCCTTTTTATTCAACACATTCAGTGGCAAGTCCTGTCTTTCCTTTTTCTCTCCATTTCTAGTGACTTAGTTTTATTTGCTCTATTAAGTTATTGCTGCTTATGTTTTCATATTACCACACATTTACTTATTCTAAATTATATATTACCTATTCTATTACTAAATTCTGAAGATGTGTTATATTATAACTAAACTCTGTAGATGTGTTATATTACTAACTTAATGTGCCCATCATATCAGAAGACTGATCTTCTAGAGACTAAAAATTTTATCTCTGCCCTCACAAAGCTTAGGCTTTTAAAACGTATGTTTATTGAATCAATGAATGATGACCTATGATAAATTAAGTTTATATTGATTCTTTACCTTAAAAATAACATAAGGGAAATAATTGAATGTTCACCATGTAAAACAGGCAAAAAACAATGACGACAACCAATTTATATTAATACTGTTGTATGCTTACCTCACTAAAGAGCTGTACTTGTATCATATTGGTGTAATGTAACATGAATCTTCTAATGTGGACACTGTTTGTAAGGATGCAAAGGTGAAGAGAGGTAGTAAAGAATGGAAATAAAATTTGAATCCAGATGCATGCCTCTACACTCTATGCTCTCATTAATCTGCTTGGAGATTGTATTTTTTTGGCATTTACTAAATGGAACAGAGTTAGTAATTTATCAGTTTCAGTGAAAAATGTTAGCAGTTGAGAAGCTATCATATTTTATAAGTAAATCAACCCAATTACATTTTTTTTTCAAAATGATTTTACTATCTATGGTAAAAATAACTCCACAAAAATAAATAAATAAGAAACACAATGTGTTTTTTTGCACAGGTCCTCCTATTATCACCCTTGAGCCAGTAGAAACTGTTGTTAATGCTGGTGGCAAAGTCACACTGAATTGCCAGGCAACTGGAGAACCTCACCCAACCATTACTTGGTCCCGCCAAGGGCACTCCATCTCCTGGGATGAACGAGTTCACATGTTGCCCAACAACTCATTATATATTGGTGCTGCTCAGAAAGAAGATACGTCTGAATATGAATGTGTGGCCCGAAACTTGATGGGTTCTGTCCTTGTCAGAGTGCCAGTCACCATCCAGGGTAAGTGTGACCAGATGGATATTCAGGTTACAAAGCACCTGGAACAACCCCAATCTTGGAAATCACTAAACATCTTAGTATAAACTCCTATTATTCTTAAGATACTTCTAGATTATGGAGAAAAGACAAAAGTTACTTTGCATTTCTAGATCTGAGTATCTCTATTTTTAAAAAGTAGTGAATGATCTGTCAGTGTGCATCACTCGCCATTATCTTTCTCTGCATTAAATCTTACCATTAAAAGCAGCCAACTGGTGATTCAGCAACATATCTTGCACAAAGAAATGAAATAAGATATGGAGTATTTACTAATTAGGAAATCAAATAGTTAAAGGTCACTGAAATGATTTTACAATTGTGCAAACATAGTCATTTGTTGGATAAAATATAATGCTGAGGACAGTATGCAAAAGAGAGCAGCCATCTTATTGGCTAGTTCTTCTACATATTAACAAGAACCTAGATATTTACTTCATTCTAATGATCCTCTAATCTCATTTACAAACATTACCCAGTCCTGGAAGTCTCAAAAAATTTTATGGAAATTTTTATGGCTGTTTATGGAAATTTTGATTCTTGAAAAAGATTGCTAGATAATGTCAAAATGTTAACAGAACTTCCAGAAAAAAATAACCAGTATGGTTTGTAGTTATGAAATGTCAAGTTAACAATTCAAAACCCCAAACTGAAAACTGGTTTCCAAACCAAGTGAAAGTTATTCAGAAATCAGTGCATATATTTAGCTTTAAAAATGGTCCATATGACCAGGCGAGAAAATAACAAAAATAATGAACAACCATAGACCAGAGACATTCTGTGGGGGTGGAGTGGGGAATGGGATCAAAAACGGGGGGTGGGGAAGGGAGGGAAATGCACGGGACTATGGTGGTGGCACAGGGGTGATTTGGTGATGGGAAACCCGTGGGGATTACAATTGAGATGAAAAAAAATGTGCGAAATGATGTAAAAATAAACTTTTTAATAAAAAAAAGTGAGAAAAAAAAAAAAAAAAAAAAAAAAATGGTCCATATGTATATAAACATGTAAGTTTCACCTATAATCTCTAACTCTTTAGCAACATGTCCTAGTGAGCCAGAATTAGAGCTGGAAAGAAACTCCAGTAAGCTGAAGTTCTCTTGTGCTTAGATTTTAATTTTACCATGAAGGAGAGCATCCATAAGTAATTTCTCAGTTGTTAGATAAGCTTTAGATCTAATACATATCTTCAATGAAATCCAGTTTTGCAATTTTTTTTTTTTTTACAAAAAGACAACACATTATGTTGCATTATGCTTTATTTACAGTTCATGGTGGATTTTCCCAGTGGTCTGCCTGGAGATCCTGTAGTGTCACCTGTGGAAAAGGTATCCAGAAGAGGAGTCGCCTGTGCAACAACCCCTTTCCAGCCAATGGTGGGAAGCCTTGCCAAGGTTCAGATTCAGAAATGCGAAATTGTCAGCATAGACTGTGTCCAGGTAACCCTTTAACCCAGCAGATTTGCACATATTCAGTAGATACTCAGTTCTGTTCCATAACTGTGGATAGTCTTGATGCTGGTGTTTTTAATTGAAATATATCTGATGGTGTCACGTTTCACCATTGACTAGTGGATGGTAGCTGGTCAGAATGGAGCCCTTGGGAAGAATGCACCAGGAGCTGTGGGCGTGGCAACCAAACCAGGGTGCGAACATGCAACAATCCATCAGCTCAACATGGTGGGCGACCGTGTGAAGGGAATGCTGTGGAAATAATCATGTGCAATATTAGGCCTTGCCCAGGTGAGAACCCTCAGTAAGCAGAGCTTGTCTGTTTTGTTTTTTTGGTTTTTTTTTTAAGATTTATTTATTTTTGCATACTTCTAGAATTGGGGTATTAGGCCAGAGGTGCAGGGGGTGAGAGGATTCACCGAGACAAAGTGGGGAACAGAACAGGCAGATGTACTGAAATACACTGCTGAGAGGAGCAGCAGACGGGGTCAGGAGAGAGCTGCTATGTCATGTGGGTCACCTCTCCTACCAGGGATTGAACTCATGCTGCAGTGGCTGCAGTAGCCTCATAGTGCTGTGCTTTAACCTGTTGCACTACCAGGGAGGGCCCAGAGCGTATCTATTTTTAACTCTTATAAACAGGTTATAGCTAACTTTTCTTATCTGTTATATAAAAGTGTTTTTATGGCACCTTAAATATATTCATTCTCTGTACTCTTCTGTGTCATGATATTAATCATTGTTAAGTAAAAAATTACATTTTGATTGCATTTGATGAAAGACTCAAATTCAAGTGTGTTTTGACCGTGTTGCGAAAAAAATAAGTAATTGCAAAATCATAGAATTTTAGAGGTAAGAAGAGTCTTACCTCTGTCACAGTCATTCATCCTAGAAAAATGAAACTAGAGAAGTTAGATTCACCCAGAAACATACTACTGCTGAAGGATAAGATATCAGCTCCCATTCACTAACTGTCTACAACTATTCACTTAATATCTAAGTAGAAACTATGCTAGGTGCTACTTATTTTAAACAAGAACTCTGTAATATAGATATTTTAGAACTCAGAGTCACTAAAATCAAGCTTAAATAAGCTTAAATAGAAAATTCTATTTTCAGATATGATTGAATTTTTTTTTTTTAAAGATTTATTTATTTATCCATATAGAACTGGGGTACAGGCCAGAGATGCGGAGGGTGAGAGGATTCACCAGAGACAGAGTGGGGAGCAGAACAGGCAGATCGACGAAGTACACTGCTGAGGGGAGCAGCGGGCGGGTCAGGAGAGGTCTGCCACACCATGTGGTCTCCTCCGGGGCAGGCGGGAATCGAACTCATGCGGAAGTGGCTTCAGCTTCTCAATGCAGTGCTTTAACCCGCTGCGCCACCAGGGAGGGCCCTCAGATATGATTGAATTTAAGGATTGAGCCAATGTTTTTTGTTTTTTTTTTATTTGTGCATACAGAACTGGGACACAGGCCAGAGGCTCAGGGGTGGTGAGAGGCTTCACCAGAGACAGAGCGGGGAACAGAACAGGCTGACTGACGAAGTACACTGCTGTGGGGAGCAGCGGGCCAGTCAGGAGAGGTCTGCCACACCATGTGGTCACCTCCGGAGCAGGCAGGAATCGAACTCATGAGGAAGTGGCTTTAGATTCTCAGTGCTGTGCTTTAACCCACTGCACCACCAGGGAGGGCCGAGCCAATGTTTTTACTAGCATGTATCCTATCTCATGTCTACTTTCCTCTCGTAGACTTTATTCTCTATTAAAGTCTCCATGTGATGGGAAAAAAAATGACTACTGGCAGCTACTGGCTCAAGGGATTTTATAATCTGAACCCTCAGAGAAAGCAGGCTTCTCTCTGACTTCATATCAGCCTACAGAAGCATGTCAGTTTGATTTTGTTTGGATCCCATGCTCACCAAAATGAATCCAGAAGAAGAATATTTTGAAAGCCAGCTTGGCTTCCAAGCCCAGCATGTGTCAAAAAGGGTAGATTCCTGTTGACAGCCTATAAAAAAAATTGTACGGGGTAAAAAAGCAGCTGATTAGTCACTGAGTCATTTATTCATTTATCCAACAAATATTTATTGAGCGCTTTCTCTATACTCCAGTCCCTATTGCCATTTCTAGAGTTACAGAGATAAATATATCATCCAACTATTGATAAGCACACTGAAAAAATTCAGAGTTAAAGTGATAGAGCACAACAGGGAGAGAGGGTTAGCTGAGATAGTGCAGAAAGGGATTCAGACACAAGATGAGATGATTGATACATCACTTTGAGTCTTATATCCAGTTGTTCAGATGAAGAAACTAAGATTCAGAAAATATATGACTATCCGCTGAGGTTGCCAGCAGTAGTAAAAAGGGAATCAAGGATTTAAACCCAGATCAATCTGATTCCCACTTAGATCTTGGATATCATAGTAAGCAGTTTAGAACTTCCGTTATATTAAAAAAATAAAATGCTGATATAAGATATTAAGTAAAATAAACCAAAAGCCAACATTGCTTTATTTTTATCCTGAACAACTAGAAAGCTAATTATAGTGGCATAATGTTTCAAAGAGACAAGAATCAGAAATACTTGGTCCAAACAGTCTTTTTTACAATTTTCCAGTTATGATATCTATGAAATGAAAACTTACGTGGTTTTATAAGTGTACTAAAATAAAAGTCAGGGTTTTTATTCTCTTCATATTAAATAGTTGTTGGCTTACTGTTCTTTTAGAGTTTCTTTGGCTATTTCCAGCCCCTGAATTGATTGCATTTTGCTATTATTTTGGCATAATGTCATTGGTGTCCCAGAATCAGCCAATGATAGCGTGTATCTTTTCCCAACTAAAAACTTAGTGACATCATTATTGTTAGATTATATAGATCATAATGTTTATACTACAAAAACTCATCAGATAGTACAAATCAAAAATTTCCTCCCAAATTTCAGAGGGTTGATTGTCAAACATTTATCACTAGAAATGTTTAGCAAAATGAACAGATAGCCTAAAATAATCTTTCTCATCCAAAGGACATGCCAAAATCTTAGATACAAGAGGTTTTCTTTTTTTACATTGTTGGATTCAACTCGATATATTTTGTTAAGGATTTATGTGTCTTTGTTCTTGAGAGACATTGACCTATAGTTTTCTTTTTTAATGTGTTTGTCTGGCTTCAGTATTAGGGAAGTGATGACCTTATGGAGTAGGTTAGAAAGCTAACTACTCTATTTCCATCCTCTGAAAGAGGTGTTAGATAACTGGTGGAATTTTTTCCACAAATGTTAAGCAGAATTTCACATCCAGAGAATAATTCAGTGAATCAGAGGGGATTGGTACTTTATGTTAATTAATTTTTTAATATGTATAAGCCTATGCAGATTCTCTTTCTGTGTGAGTTTTGGGAAATTGTGCCTTTCAAGGAATTGATTTATTGCATCTAGATTATCAAAATGTGAGTATAGATACATTTGGAATACTTCTTTACTATTCTTTTACTATGAAGAGTGTTTTTAAAATACCAATCCTTAAAAAGAGATTGATGTTTTCTGGGGTGGACTGACCCACATCCACTTGAGAATCATTGTCATAAAAAAAATATTGTTGCCAATTAGATGCAAATGAGATTTTCTGAAATATTTTTTATCAAAATATCATTACATTATAATATTATATGTTTAGGTGTGCATCTTAAAAATTAACATCTGAATACACTACATTTAGCCTGCCACCAAAAGTTCTGTTCCATTCACCATATATTGACCCCTTTTACTCAATTTACCTACCTGTCTCTCCCCTTCCCTTCTGTAACCATGAGTCATTCTTACAATCTAAAAGCTTCTTTTGTTTTCTTTAGTTCATTTGATTTCACTGTGCAACACCATAATTTTTTTCTTTCTTCATCTGAATTATTTCACTGGGCATAATATACTCTAGATCCATTCATGTTTTTGCAGTTGGCACGGTTCCATCATTTTTTAAATTGCTCGGTAGTATTCCATGGCGCATGTGTACACTCTGGCTTTATCCAGTCACCTGTTCATGGGTACTGAAGTAGTTTCCAATACTGTGTGTTGTAAATCATGTTCCCACAAAATAGGAGATCCTGTCATCTTTGAATTCATGGTCTTGTATTCTTCACCCAGAAATGGGATAACTGGATTATACGGAATTTCTATTTTTAATTTTTTGGAAAACTCTCCTTGTTTTCCATAGTGGCTATACCAATTTACATCCCCACAGACAGTACACAACAGCTCCCTTCCCTCCACATCTTTGCCAGTACTAATTATCGCTTTTTTTTTTAAATATATAACAGCTGTTCTCACAGGTGTGAAGGGATGTCTCATTGTTGCTTTGATTTGCAGCAAATGAAAAATTTTTGAAGTATATTTCTGAATGCAGTTGAGAACTTTGAGGGGAAAAAATGACTGTCCTTCCTCATAGCTCACGTTTACGTAGTCCTGCATGCCTTGCATGGTGCCTAGTACTTCTGTCAGCTCTTTACTCTTCATCTCAGTTGTGCAATGTGGGTTCTTATCTACATTGTAGATGAAGAAATGGCACAGAGGAGTCAAGGAATTTGCCTAACATCACACAGCTATTAAGGCAGCGTGGTTGTTCAGGCTAGGACGTGTGCTCAGCACCTCTGCTCCTAACCACCATGCTGCTCCAGAATCAGAACTGCAGTGCAGGATAACAACAATGTCAATATTTATATTAGCATTTTTCTTGTCTACCAATACTTCTAGAGTTGTTTCCTTTTGTGTCATATAGAAACTCTGATGTTTTATACCTATTCTGGTTTATATTATCGTTCTTCCTATCATTCTGCACATGTGAAAGAAACCTTTCAACTCTACCATAATTTATGTCATGAAATTCAATTCTGCTGAATTTCTGTATTGATTTTAGAAATTATGGCTTCCACTGAAAACCTCTGCAGAAACTACACAGAAAAAGAAATACAGGTCACCCAGTTTAAATCCTTCAGTAAAAAACACGTCCATGTGTATGGATTTATAATACAAGAGTTGTAAACTCTTGTTAACCAACAGTCATGAAAATGGAACATATTGAAATAATTGGAGCAGAATAATTTTTAAAAATAAATTGTCTAGTGTTAGCAATCTAAATGTATAAAGGAATAGTTTTGCATAGTATCTGCCTTATATCTCTCTGGAGGTTTTCTATTTAGACTTAGTTAAGTATGTTTTAGTGAAAACTTTTGTCAACTGAAATAAATTGATGACTACATTTGCCTGTGTACAAAAAAAACAGAAAGATATAATCTGAATAGAAAACAGTTAAATAAAAGAAAATGTAAGATGTGTTTTAAAATATTTTCTAAGCAACGCAGCTAAATAGTAATTGTATTACTTTGATTTCAATTTATTTATTTATTTTTGCATCATTCATCATTTTGTACATTTTTTCATCTCAGTTGTAATCCTCATGGACTTCCCACCACCACTTCACCCATATGTCATCACCATAGTCCTGTGTTCTCATCCTGCCACAGTTTAAACTATTGGTTTTGTATAGGTTGTATTAAGAGAATAGACAAAAGCTTGAGGTCCTGCTTTGGTTCACATCTTACTTAAACCAGGTAACCACAGACATACCTTATGAGCATGCTACAAAAAGTACCCCTAAAACAAAAATGGAACCTGATGCTGACTTTTACATAAGAAAAACCATAGAGTTGACTCTAATCCCAGTACCTGGCAGTAAACCACATAAGGTTGTTCCAGTCTTAGGGTCAGATGGTGTAATATGTTAGTTACTAAAAGGAAGGCCTTAATATCACTTCATGGAAACTACTGGTCAGTTTTTTCTGTTGTTTAGGAAGCAGGTGAGTGTGTTATTCAGAAGTTTTAATTCATGAACATTACGTAATGGAGAAAATTTTTCAGAGTTCCAACTGAGCAGATCATCATATTGAAAAGACCCAAGTACATTTGTAAACATGTGGCTGAATCAGGCTTAAAGATGTGGTCTCCTGTCTGGGATCCAACTTGCTATTGTGGAAATATTTGTGTTGTTCATAACCACATCTAGATCTGTTCGCCAGCCTTGCTTTTAACATTCTAGTTACTTCAACTTTCCCCAGAGCATGGAGCACAAATACTTAGATTGTGTTAACATATGGCAGTTTGGTTAAATTTAACTTTTAATAAAATGGCTCCTTTGGATAATTTTAAGCATTTATATTGGCATTAGATAACTCTGAATTTCCCTTGAAAACCCAGTGAAAAGGTAAGAAGGAAAAACATTGCTGTTTCCTTTGGTTCAGTTTTGATTATTCCAGCTTTTGGGGAAATTTACTTCATTACTGAGCAAAATTATTGATTTTCTTTCTTTTTATTTTAACAAACATGGTTGCCTGATTTGAAGCTCTGTCTCTTTGTAGTTCATGGATCATGGGGTGCTTGGCAACCTTGGGGTACCTGCAGTGAAACTTGTGGGAAAGGAACCCAGACAAGAACAAGACTATGCAATAATCCACCACCATCATTTGATGGATCCTACTGTAATGGAGTGGAAACTCAGATGCAAGTTTGCAATGAGAGACACTGTCCAGGTAAGAGAAATACAATGGTTCTACCCTTAGTAAATGAGTGTCTATTTCTTATTTAGGTTTCTAGTGTGTCAGTAAGAATCATTATCAATAAGAATATCATTCCACCCATCAATACCCAAGTTTAAGCTGATTCTTTTGAAGTGCATGTTTTTCTTAAATGCAGTTGATGGCAAGTGGGGCACTTGGGCTCCTTGGAGTACCTGCACTGTGTCCTGTGGAGGAGGTGCCAGACAGAGAACGAGGGACTGCTCTGATCCTTTTCCTCAGCATGGAGGGAGCATCTGTGAAGGAACTGATGTCCAGAGTGATTTTTGCAATAGTGACCCTTGTCCAAGTGAGTGTTGGAAATAGTGAGTCCCCAATGTTATTCTTTCTTAAAAATTTCGTTACAGTCTTTATGTCCATAAAGTTATAGTATTCCTTGACTTGATTCATCTACCTTTGATGCAGGATATTAAAATGTTGAATATCTGCTGTTGTACCTAGATGGTACCATAGATGGCATTGATATATGTGGACAGAGGGACTGTGTCCTGTTTCATTTGATCTATGTAGGACTAGCTGCAGAGTGCAAGGCTGAGGGGATCCTTAACATGCTCACTATTAATGATGCTTTATGGAAGCAAACAGGTGGCTCTCTGCCTAATTCAGCCACCACCCCAGAATTTTAGACCCAGCAGCACCTGAATCCACTGTATCCTGATGTTACAGCCTTAACTCCTCAAGAGCAGAGACTTTGTCTCATTCATATCCTTCAGCTCCTGGAATACTGTAAGACTCAATAAGTGTTGAATGGAACTGTATAATCATTGGAATGTATTATCGGTTTCTAGTCAAAACAAGAGCTAAACAATCTGCTTTTGGAAGTTGACTATAGACTTGTATGTTTCTTTTCAGTTCCTGGGGAGACTCTTCCAATACATTTTGGATGAAAGTCATTGTTTAGCACTTCTCCAATGGTTCTGTGTTGTAGCTCATGGTAACTGGAGTCCTTGGAGTGGCTGGGGAATCTGCAGCCGGACATGTAATGGAGGGCAGATGCGACGGTACCGCATGTGTGATAACCCTCGTCCTTCCAATGGAGGAAGAGCTTGCGGCGGCGCTGATTCCCAGATCCAGAGATGCAACACTGACATGTGTCCTGGTGAGCTTCCCAACTCCCAGCAGTTGAATAAACCAAGCATTTTATTTCGTGTTCATTGTAGCAGCCTCATCCCTTCTGATAAGATTTTATTTATATAATAAGTTATTCTTGTGATACCATGAGGATTCTTCCCATCAGGTATTGCCACTGTAGGGTACCAGTCACCAAATCACTCATAGTCCACCACTGTAGGCCATTGTCCTTTCAGATTTTAAAATGAAAATTATATAGACAGGATCACCTTAAGTAGATTTCAGAACTAAGTTATCGATATGGACCCTTGTGTTTGTGTTCATAGTGGATGGAAGTTGGGGGAACTGGCAGAGTTGGAGCCGGTGTTCTGTCTCTTGTGGTGGAGGTGAAAAGACTCGAAAGCGACTATGCAACAATCCAGTACCCTCCAAAAGCGGCCGCTCCTGTCCAGGAGATGCTACTCAGATATCCAGATGCAATATGCAAGCATGTCCAGGTAAGTGACTAAATTAGACTTTGACAGGACCATTTCTAGTACACTTACAGCCTTTATAAATTAAAAAAGGATATAAGTCTGGGCCCACAAATTGCGAATCAGTGCTCACAGTGGAAAGAATTAGAAAAAATGTACTTTTCCCCTGTAGTTGATATATCTCTACCTCAAAGTGCATAGTTGAATTTTACCCTCTGAAGGCCCCCTCTCAGGCTCTTTAGGAAAAGGATATGTTCTGCATAGCCATAAATAATAGTCCTGGGCTTGCAGAGTTAAGGAGATGGTAGAAGAGTATACAAACTCAGACTGAGATGACAGGCTGAAAAGTGAGGGTAGAATTTAAATACCTAACAGTAAAACCCAGTTCGGGGCTATTCTTACATGGGCAGAAAAAATGGAGAATATGTAATGTAATGTTCCTGGAAATCAAGAATGTCCCCTTGGGCAAAGAAAGAGAGACATTATGTGAAAAAGTTGTAAGATCTAAACAAACCAAAGGGCAAGTGCTTATCAGTCCCACTGCTCCATATGGATATAGCCACTACGGGTAGTGTGTTCAAGGAGACATAATGACAGTTCTTGTTTCTGTTGGGACATTTTGTAGCTTAACCTCTGAAGGCTCCAGGGTCTCCCTGGCAGCAGGAAGTGCAGATAGATAAACAATTTGAATTAGAGCCTGGCAGAAAAGTTCAGGGATGCCCAACCAGAAAGAAAAGAAATCTACTGAACATTGGAATTCAAGTTCCTCTGCAGGACTAGAGAACCAGAGTCAAAAAGGAAGCCCAAGGTCATTAGTTATGACCCAGAAGACCAAGTGAATCAGTTTCATCCTTCCATTCATCTGCCCCCCCATCCCCACTCTGCTGAGAAGTAAAGATAAGGGTAATGGCCTGCCTGTCCTGAATAGACCTGCTGCTTCCTGCCCTGAACCATCTTCCGTGTGATTCTCATCCTCTCCCAAGCTCTCTGCTCCTTTGAGTTTGCTAGATGTGGGAGACCACCTACTCTCAAAAGAGTGACACCTGCTGTTTCCTCCTCCTAGAAAGCCTTTTTTTTTTTTTAACTTTCCTGGCTTAGTCAATAACTAAACTTTGTTCCAGTCTCTACTCACTTTTTACATCTTTTTCAGACTTCCCTGTGTAGCAGCTATCTTATGCATTAGTACACTTCAAGTTTACTTTTATTTGTGGAATTCTAATTAATGTCTATCTGCCTAATCAGGGATAAGCTATATTAAGAAAAGTCACTTAGTTAGTTTTTTTTTCTTTCTTACATTGTATCCTTTATATTTGATGAATAAATGAATCTAATCCAGAGCATGGAGGTAGAACCGATGTAAGAAAATGTCTGTCACTCATAACCCAAAAAAATGCAGGTTATCTTGGTGAAAGACAATATACCATACTTACTGGATATTCTGAAATTAAATACAACTATATTTTTCCCTAGTCTGTAATACTTAATAATCATATGTAAAGAATATAGTTATTGTTTTAAAAACAGATTCAAATAGAGTGCCAAATAATGAAAATTTGTTAATTTCATTACTAATTTCTTCCCAATGTTTCCTTCTTTTGGAATTGCATAATTCATTTCAGAGACTTAATCTTTTCTGTTTAAAACCTTGTATAGAAGGTTTGGATTTTTTTATTGTGATAACATTGGTTTGCCACATAATATATGATTTAGAGTTATAGGATCAACAGTTTCGAGTGTTGTTACTACATCACATCCACCATGAAGACACCTGTAGTCCCAAACCAGTCTGTTGTGCTACCTCCTACTTAGCTCTTCCCTTTCCCCATTCCCTTCTGGTAACCTTAATTCTATAGTCATTTCTAGGATTTGTTATTGGTTTGGCTTCATCTGACCCTTTGTTTGGTTTCTCTATATTCCACATGTAATTGACAACATCCAGTATTCGTCTTGCTCCTTCCAACTGACTTTGCTTAACATAATCCCCTCCAGTTCCATCATGTTGTTGCAAATGGCAAGAGGTTACCTTTTTTTTATAGCTAAGTAGTATTCCATTGTATATATAAACCCCATCTTCCTACCTTTGATACTTACACTATCCCTATAGGTTGGCTATTGTAAATAAACAATGCCTCAGTGAACATAGGAGTGCATATATTCCTTTGAATTAGCGAAATTGCTTTCTTATGTAGACATCTCAGAGTAAAATTGCTAAAACCTGTGGTAGAATCATTTTGAATATTTTGAGAAATACCCATGTTGTTGTCATAGAGACAGAACCAGTTTATATTCCCACAAATGGTGGACAAGTTCTCCTTTTCCTCCACATCCTCACCAGCACTTGTTTCTGATCTTTTTGTTATGTGTGAGCTTTCCTTTCCTTGATAATAACTGATGATCAGCCTTTATTCATGTGCCTGGTGGCCATCTGTATATCTTCTTTGGAAAGTTATTACTTGGTTCTTCTATCCATTTTTTGATTGGGTTATTTTCTTTTTGTTGAGTTGCATGAGTTTTTTGTAAATCTTGTATATCAACCCTTTGTGAGATGTCTGGTGTGCAAATATTAGTCTTAAAATCAAAGCAGAGCCAGAAAAAAAGTGTCATTGCTAATAATTAAAGACTTTTCTCTTTGAAGTTGACATTCAGTTAGAACATTTTATAGGGATTCCTTATTTTAAAGATAGAAGTGAAGCTAAATCTTTTTGCTTTATCCCATCCTTAATGAATATGTAATAGTTATTCTTGACTAGTGGTTTATTCACACATATACTGTGTTTAACCAATTATTTTGTTGAGCAGTAGAAAGAGACATAAAATTACTATAAAGATGTTTTTGAAAAATATTTATGATTTTTTTCCAACATAGTTGGCTTAGTATAAATTCTGTAGCACTGTCAAAGAATGATATTCTCATATATTTCTCAACTTAAATATTTTTCTGTGTGTAGTGTGAGTGTGTGAGATGAATAACTTAATAAACCTTCCATTTGAACCCATACCTGTACATACCCATCGATACTATTCATTCATGTTGGCAAGGACTTGTATGGAGACTTACTCGCTGTTTTGTTGGTATTCTCCCTTTCCCTCGGGGTGTTCACAAAAGAGGCAGGAGATGAAAGAACCAAATTTTAAGCCAAATATGCTTATGTTCCAAACCCTATCCCGCCATTTCCTAACTGTAATAATGGAAAAGTCACTTTCTCTGAACCTCATTTTCCAAGTCTGTAAGTTGTGACTACAGAAAACTGCCTTAAAGGACTTTTGGTGGAATTATAAGAGTTAAAGCACATTCAGTGCTTACTATATATATATATATACATATCAATAACATGCTCAGTAAACTCACATTATTGTCATCCTTTCATCATCAGCAGAAAACACATACTTTTTTTTGGCTTTGGGGCTAGAGCTGATTGTGTTCTTTGGATTGTGAAATAATACCATGATGTGCCTAGATTGGAAAGACCCTAGATTTATGAGGGATGATGAGTGTTACATGAGAGTAGAAAGTTTTCAAAGCTTATTTATTCCACCCTTAAATTCAGATGTCATACGATCTTTGAAATGTTTAAGATTTGTAGCATTTTTGAATTAACGGCCTTCTTTTCACCCACATAATGTTGATGAAATTGTTTCTTTATCCAAGAATGTTTTTCTTCCCCCAATAGGTGGGCCCCAGCATGCCAGAGGAAGTGTTATTGGAAATATTAATGATGTTGAATTTGGAATTGCTTTCCTTAATGCCACCATTACAGATAGCCCTACTTCTGATTCTAGAATAGTACATGCAAAAATTACCAATGTCCCTCGAAGTCTTGGTAAGTGGATGTATTTAGAAAAGTTAATAAGCCTACTTTGAAAAACTTAGTATTATTTTTATTTCTTCTTAAAATGTCTAGGAGATGTTGTTATTAAATGTTCAATATAACAGTCCTTAGTTCTATCCCATATATGAGTTTCTTATATTTATTTTGTTCTTATCCTATTATTTAGGAATCATCCTTATAATAACATTGGACTGTAAATATTTTGCTCTATCACCGTATTTATCTTTTTTCTTTAGGTTCAGCAATGAGAAAGATAGTTTCTATTCTAAACCCCATTTATTGGACAACAGCAAAGGAAATAGGGGAAGCAGTCAATGGTTACACCCTCACCAATGCAGTCTTCAAGAGAGAAACTCAAGTGGAGTTTGCAACCGGTTAGTGCCAGCTGAACTTGATATTCTCTTACTATAAATTATATATATATATATATATATATATATATATATATATATATATATATA